TTATAACCGCTTAGCTAACTGGCACCCTTTAACTTTACCCCACCAGTCAAGGAACTTTTTGCGGGTTAGGCTTTTGATTAAGTCAATATGAGATACCATAGAAGGGACAACTGTCGGCAAAGGGGAACAGGGCAGCCCTTTTTGCCAGCCTATCGGCTTGCTTATTCCCCGAGTGAGTCGAGTATCCCTTTATCCACTGTAGTGTGAAAGCGCCAAATGACAATCCATAATCACCGCAGAAGTCAATTTATCCTTGCTTAGAGCTAAAACAGATTGTCTACTGTTGGTAAAGATTGTAAAGGTCTTACCTCTGTAATTGGAGTTGACAATGTAGTCAGCAGCAAATTTTATAGCGACTAATTCTGCCTGCTTGACGGTGATGCCTTCTCCAAGTGATATGAAGAGATGGAGCTGTAAGTTGTTAGAAAATACTCCCGCTCATGCACCAGTCCGTCTGCATGAACCATCAGTGTAGATTTTCATCTACATCTGTGGAACCACAATGGGTGAGGTATTTCCTTGAAAACGTAAATTTAGCCGGTATATACTCCGTGCAGCATTCCAATAGATGTGTGTTTGTCAACGCCTCCCTCTAATGTGCTGCACTTCCTCCGGTTTCCTCTCCCTTGAAAAGTCCTACTTTCCGTAGTTACAACATGGTAATCAGCGCCACCTCCTGAATATATGAATATAGAGGGGTTTAACATGTTTTCCATGGCCGCAGTGGGGGTCGTCCTCATGGCACCTGTAACATACATCCACGCAAGTCTCTGTATTCTATTTAGTGCGGTAGTAGCGGGAAACTGTAAGGTTTTAGACCAGAGGGCAGATTTGGGTGACAAACCCCATATCTTCCCAATCGCCCTTCGGCACTGGCCAAACGCGACACTAGCTTTCTTTACTCTATTATCTAGGTGTGACTTCCATGATAGTTTGCTATCCAGAGTTATAACCAGATATTTAACCTCTTTAGACAAACTTAGTAGGGATTTTCCGAACAAGGGCAAAATTACCAATTTTTCGCAACCGTGTGAAAAGGATTAAACCGGTCTTATTGGGGTTAATAATTTCTGCCTTCCACACCATTTCTCGACTATATTGAGAACCTCTTGTATCCTCTCAAATAACACCCCCACATGTTTTTCCCTGACAAGAATAGTTACATCATCAGCATAGCCGACGGTAACGAATTTGGCCTCCTTGAGGCGTTTAATAAGGCTGTCTAGAATGAGGTTCCATAGAAGTGGTGAAAGAACACCTCCTTCAGGACATCCTCGCGTTACAGCCTTTTTAAGGGTGGCGTTGCCAGCCCTTAGCTTGACGATTCTTTATCTGAGGAAGCTCTCTATTCAGCCACAGAAGGTAGGAGGAACATTATGCTCAGCCAAAGCCTCGTTAATACCAACGAAAGTCGTCTTATCAAAGGCGCTCTCTATATCTATGAATACTCCCAAGGCGGACTCTTTGGAGTCTAACGCCCTCCCAACAAAACTGGTTACACTGTGAAGAGCTGTCAGTGTGGACTTGCCTTGGTCTATCGACAAGACAGACATGCCTTATGTAACGATCGCATAGTCTCTCTAAGGTTTTTAATAAAAAAAAAAAAAAACGAGAAGTGGCTGATTGGTCTAAAAGATTTCGGAAGGAAGTAGTTTTGCTTACCCGGTTTAGGTATGAAGTTCACCAAAACCTCACACCAACAACTGGGAATGTAGCGAAACGCCATGCATCCCTGAAAGATGTTCCTTAGGTGAGGTATCAATTCCTCCAATCCCCACTGCAGCATGGCGGGTACGATACCATCATCTCCAGGAGGTTTGAAAGGTAAAAAGCTGTTTATTGCCCACCTCATTTTATCCTGCGTGCAATTCTTCTCAGCTAACAGCCATTCTTCTACAGTCGCTGTGTGGTTGGTGTCTCCATGAGCTACTATAGAGTCTACCGAATGTGAAAAACGCACATTCATTAGAAGGTGTAAGCTTTGTAGTCCGTATAGCAACCGTCATTCTTCTGCGATAAACCTATTTGCCGGTCCGGGTCTGAGGCCAGACCTAGATGCATTAAATGAGGAGTATTCTGTGCTCAAACCAATTACGTCTAAAGTAATTGCGGGAAAGGAGTGTAATGAAAATGCTAAAGTCCTCGATACCTGGATACGCATTCTAAAGTCAACAACAAATGAAATTAATGACCATTTTTTTGTCAAACTACTTCATTTTGTGTTTTCGATCCCAGTCTTCAATGCACAGGCTGAAAGAATCTTTTCCTTGTGCGGAAATACATGGACCAAGAATCGAAACAAATTAGATATACAAAGTGTGAAGGCAGAATTACAAATAAAAATAACATGTTAGAATGTTACATATTAGAAAATAAAGTAAATTTTATATAAATTTTTAGTAGAATAATTTTTAGTTACAGTACCGTAATTTACAGGAAACTGTAAATTTAATGTCTTTGACGACACAAAAAAAAAGTTTATTTTTAGCTTTATTCTAAAACAATAAGAAATAGACCTGTCAAACCCTATATTTTTGTAATCAGAAAAAAATAAGGAATTTAATAAGCGATAGTCAGTGGTTGTTTCCATTTAAAAAAACGAAAATTGTCATAATATCTCAAAATCTAAAACCGAAAAATTCTTTTTGATTACGTCATCAAATTTTCTGTAAAAAAGTGTCCATATAATGTCTTACAATTAGTTATAATATTCCACCTATAATAATAACCAAGATAATTGCACTGGTTGGTTTCATGATATTTTCAATTTTGGCTTCTAGGGGAAAAACAAAAGACGATAGCGCTTTGAGGTTTTTGGCATTAGTAGTTTCTCGAAAAACGAGATCGTGACATGTAAGCTACTTTTTTTCTAACTCTTATAGTTTCCGAGATAGCCTATTCGGACATCTAATACGAACCATCCTGTCATGGACGTAGCCAGAGAGGGGCAGGGAGAGGCCATGCCCCCCCCCCCCTAAAGCTCTGAAATAATTACACTTTTTTACAAAAAAATTAACTCTTAATTACAAATTGACTGCACCACGGTCCATGCGCGACTTCTAAATTTCAGTACAGTTGGCTTGAGAAAAATTCACCATGGCTGGTATATTCAAAGCACTTAAAGGGAGCTTCGTGTTTATACGGTGTGATGTTTCCTTTCGGTTCAGGGAGTCCAAGGTACTTTCGCTGTACGCCCTTTTATTCGATATAAGTATATGCATAAATACGGTAAGAACCATATTGCAAGTCGATGGCATTTGGCAGCAGTCAAAGTTGCAAAATCCTTGAAACAATCGACAAGATTTTACCCATTAGATTAGACCCACAAAAATGTGTTGGGCAAGGATACGACCGACGGATGTGCGACAATGGCCGGCAAAGATGGTGGTGTACAAAAAATAATAAGGGAAAAGTATAGAAAGGCCCTGTTCTTTCATTGTGCAAGTCATAGGTTAAGTCTAGTGGTGAATGATCTAAATCGTGTCGCAGAGATTCGTAACACAGTGTCCACTACAAAAGACATAACATTTTTCGAGAATCCGTTTTAAGGAGAAAATACGCTCCAAATATACCAACTCTGTGTAAAACAAGATGGTCTTAAAAATACCGAAGTATTTCTATCTTCATGCAAAACTTCTTAGGAATCGTACATGGTCTAGACTACAGAGAGACTCGCAGAGGAAGGAAACACTGCTACAAGAAAGACAGCCTTTTAGCTACATTGTGCTGCCACGAAACCTGTATTTATTATCTCCACCTGCATTATATCTAAGTACTCTGCTTTACTGGAACCTGTTGCAAATGTTTTGCAGTCAAAGGGCTTAGATCTCCTGCAATGTACGAACCACATTAAGAAAATTGTTGATGTAGTGAAAGTTCATCGCCAAACTACGGATGCCATTATGAAAGATTTCTTTGCTTCTGCCAATAGGATTGCGGAGGAAATACAAATAGAACTTCATCCATCCAGAATAGTAAAGCACCAGCAGCATCGTTCAAACAGTCCCGCAGATTCACCTGCTGAGTATTGGAAACGTACGATACTTATTCCATACCTGGACTCTTTAACGTCAGCGTTGGAGAACACATTTTCTGTAGAAAATGTACCGGCCTTTTCTATATTATCCCTACATCCTTATCGTATGTTAAATTTGAAGATTGAAGATTTTAAACAGAAAGCAAAATCTACTGCTGAATTGTACGACCTAAAAGAGCTTCAGTCTGAAACTAAATTGTGGTATCATGTGTGGGCTGAGGAGAACCTTGATAGACAGATTTTAAAAGATCTGGAAATGGTTGAAGTGATTAAAGAAGCCAATATATTCTTTCCCGGCATAAAAAATGCTTTAATGATCTCAATAGCGCAGCCTTGTTCCCCAAGTATGATAGTAAGATCATTTAGCACATTAAGACGTGTCAAAACATGGTTAAGATCTACAATGGGGGAAAACCGTTTAAATAGACTATGTTTAATTAGTGTGCATAAAAATCTTGTGTCGGAAAAAAAGGATGAGATAGAGTTAGAAATCATACAAACATTTTCTGAAAATCCTAAGCGATTAATGTTATAAATAAAGTATGTGTTGTTTAATTTAACGACTCTTCAATTATATATTATACTGTATGTATATTTAATGGTTTTGTTGTAATATATTGAATATCAAAACATAAATAAGTGGAGTTTTATTATCTAAACAGCATGTCTTGTATTTTGATCCTAAATCCCATATTTTCTCCAGGTAACCCCTGTGAAACAAAAAATAGAGCTGGCAACCCTAATTACACCACTTATTGAAAGCTGGTAAAATCGTGTCCTGCTGAAAGTCGAAGGAACAATTCATTTCTCTATTAAGTTTTCTTAGATTGTGCTTACAGTATACTTTACCAGCTTTGAAACTTTCTTAATGTTAGATCTTAAATAAATTATAAATTATAACTCAATACATTTGGTACTTTTAGTAATTTTAACATTTATTAGGTTGATTGACTAGACTGTCAAAGTTGGCAATGTTTGACAATAACAACATTTTTGAATTAACGCGCAAATTATGGAAGAATTCCAACAAAAAATACGTGATTTTGGCCGAAAAGCCAATTGGAAAAGTTGCAACAAATATCTTACTAACCAAGGAATCGAAGAAGTGTGTACACAACGTTTAATATAACCTAGAAATAGCAACATAAACTAACCTATAACTTTTTAGGTTATAAACTTAGTTAAAATCAAAATAAATCACCCTGATTTCGAATCATTATGGACATACCTTTTACGAACTTACAAAGAAGATGAAAATTCTCATGGGGATCGATTCAAAATGGTACTGTGTTGCTTGGAAAGTTTACAATCACAAGATGTTAGTAGTACAACTTCGGAAGCTGTTATTAGTCGATTATGTTTAGAATTATTTAATTTTCATAGTAATCATTTGGTTGATTTGTGTCGATTATGTTTAGAGTTCATACAAAAAGGGGGTGTTAATGAAGCTTGGTATGATTAACTTAATTATCTTATAAATCCTATATGTAATTAGAAATTTTTTTAGTTGGAGTGTTTTATTACCAAAACTTTTAAGTGTAATCGTTAAAAAAGAGCTTATTGAAAATCAAGGTGAGGAAATGAGCGGATTAGAATACAAAACCCAAGTGATTAAAGCGTTAATATTCATGGAATGGTCTGCTAATATAATAATACCTTTAACAATTATGTTTAGGTTAATTTTTAATAATTTTTTAATTAATTTTGAGGTAAAATTAAATTTTTTGTAGTGATATGACATTAACTAAAGAAGAACATTTTGAAGTAACAAATAAATTAGGGAAATACACCGAGAAATTAACCCCCCAAGAAATTCCAACGTTTACATACAACTTATTAAAACTATGTCGCCACCAAAACAACAAATTAATTTTTTTCTGTTTACAACATTACTTTGGAACACGAATTTATAGCACAACCTTAGAGTGCGAATCGAATTCGGAGAGTTTAGATTTAATATCGACCACAAACGATGATGAACTTTTGCAAACGCAAAGCACTGTACTATATCATATCCAACAATGTGCTTTATTGAGCCATGAAAGTCTTAAAGAGTACTTTAATTTTATTAAGACCCTCACAAGGGCCCCTGAATTCTTATTACATCCATTTCAATTAACCGTATTATTATCAATTTCTACAATTTCCATCCATAAAACCGTCGTTTTTGCTATTATTAAACAAGCTATAGTGAGAATGTTACAAGAAGAGATTAAACGTGAAGAATCGAGTTGGTTAAAAACCATGATTAGTGAGTCGTTTAGTTTGAATTCAATTTTTGATGTTATTATTGAAAAAAGGTTTTTTTAAATTCAATTATTTAATTTTTTTTATTAATTTATTTCTTTTTTAGTGTAAAAAATTGTGAACTCGTTCTCCATGGATTAGTAAATTTATGTTTTGTATTATTAGGAGCTTCTCCATTATTAGGACGTGAATCGCGTATCGTTTCAAAACAATGGGATTTGGGAAAATCTATTTTATTGAAATTAATTAAACGGGAAGTGCAAATTGCTCCTTCCGTGCTTAAACGATTATGTGAAGAAATTGTTACTTATAATTCTACATTTCAATATAGTGGTAAGTTTTTTGATGATACATACATACAGGGTGTCTCAATGAGACCAGTCATTAGACGTTTCTGGGGTTCTGGCCAAAATAAAGATTTGAGAATTCAGATTTAAGTATTATCAATTGCGTTCTCTTTGACTAAAATATTTCCAGATTTCTAGCACTTCTGGTTATACCGGAAGTCGTCACCTACTTTATTTTTTTAAATGGGACACTTGTATATTTTTACATATTTGGATTTGTTTGTTTTTAAGGCTTATGAATAACTTTAGTTTTTGCAATTTGATTCAGCCGTTCTTGAGTTATTCGAAATTTTCTAGAAAAATCTGTTCCAGCAGACATTTGTTGAAAAAATCAGAGAACACTCGATTTTTTAGATGTCAATTTAGCAATGCACTTCTGATGGCGAAATCATTTGAATTTTTTTTAGAATCATAACATGCTTATCTTTTGGATTAAACCTCTTAAAAATTAGCTTACAGCTTTCAACCAGAAACTCTAAACAGGATTTTTTAAATGTTAATACTTCTGTTTGGGTTAAACCATGTGTATTATTGGCGAAACAACTCATAATTGCATTACCCAAATATACAGGGTTATTATAAATGATGGACCCATTTTTAAAGATGAATATTTATTAAAGTACAGATCCAAAATGAACAATCTTTATACCAATGGAAAGAGGAAATTTCAAAGTTTTTTTGCAATACATTATAAATGTTCATTGTGCCACCGTCTGATATTATCCGTTCGTTTCCTCTCTGTAAAAATACTAAGTAGAAAAGAAGGCGATTACGGTATGTCGCACCATAGCGACAAATAAACATAATTTTATTATTCATCTTTTTGTCTTATAAATAACATTAAATATGTACGTCTTCGTCAAAAGTGAGTGAAATGCCTACCGTGGAGCACAAGGTTTTCTGCGTTCTTGAGTTCGCAAGAATTGAGTCACAAATTGTAGTGCAGCGGGCATTTCGTACAAAATTCTGTATCGAACCACCAACTAAAAAAAGCATTAAGCCTTAGTTTACGCAATTTCAACGAACTGGAAGTGTGTGTAAAGGGAAAAGCACAGGTCGATCGCGTGTATCAGAGGATGATGTCAGACGTATTGAAGAAAGTTTTGTTCGCAATCCAACAAAGTCTACCAATAGAGCTAGTAGAGAACTTGGAATATCCCAGTCATCACGGTCTGGAAAGTTCTGAGGCGGCGTTTGCTGTACAAGCCATACCGATTACAACTTGTGCAGGCTCTCAACCATAATGACAAAGAGAAGCGTTTCGAATTTTGTAGTTATGTGCTAGGAATGATGGAGGATGACGCGTTTCTGCAGCGTATCATTTTTAGTGATGAAGCGACTTTCCACCTTAGTGGAAAAGTCAACAGACATAATGTTCGCATATGAGGTTTGCAAAATCCACATTTAACATTGCAACACGAAAGAGACTCACCGAAAGTAAACGTGTTCTATGCCGTATCTCGTACAAAGGTTTATGGACCATTTTTCTTTGCGGAAAGATCTGTAACTGGAACAACGTACCTGCACATGTTGGAACAATGGCTGTTTCCTCAAGTTATGGAAGATTCACAGGACTTCATTTTCCAACAGGACGGAGCTCTGCCCCATTGGCATCTTCATGTACGAGGCTTTTTGAATACAGCCCTTCCTCAACGCTGGATAAGTCGCAGGGGAAATGAAGACCTGGCTCTCCACTTTTGACCACCGAGATCTCCTGATCTCACTCCATGTGACTACTTCTTATGGGGTTCTGTTAAGGAAGTTGTTTACGTCCCACCTCTACCAACAACTCTGGACGATCTGCGAAACCGTATCACAGCTGCTGTGCATTCAGTAACAGTAGATACACTTGCTCGTGTGTGGGACGAGTTCGGCTACCGCATAGATGTTTGCCGTGCAGCGGACGGTGGACACATTGAACATTTATAGTGTATTGCAAAAAAACTTTGAAACTTCCTCTTTCCATTGGTATAAAAATTCTTCAGTTTGGATCTGTACTTTAATAAATATTCATCTTTAAAAATGGGTCCATCATTTATAATAACCCTGTATATTTTCAATTTGAACAAAATTATGTGGATTTTTGTACTCAACATCTTCTATAGGTGTTGCTTCTAAATAATTTCGTTTTATATAACAGTCTAGAAAAGTTTTTAACATTGTTTCAATATTTGAATATAAAACATGAATTTTAATAGACTGTAACTGCATCGTTTTTAAATGAACACCCTGTATATTTTTACAAGTTTGAATTTGTCTGTTTTCAAGGCTTATGAATAACTTTACTTTTTGCAATTTGATTCAGCCGTTCTCGAGTTATTCGAATTTTTCTAGAAAAATCTGTTCTAGCAGACATTTTTTCAAAAAATCAGAGAACACTAGATTTTTGAGATATCAAATTTGAGAACATGCTTAAGTAACATGATAGAGTATGTTATGGTGTCGAGAACGGCTGTCTAGATCGTTTGGTCACTTTACTATGGCACGTTAACTTTTCGAAACTTCGAAGTACCATAACTTAATTTTTTTAAAAGGCACCCCTCATATTTTATTACTTACTATCCGTGCAAAAAGTCAAGGCCCCTCACTTTAAAGATTGATATCTTCGCAACCGTTCGATAAAAAAAAATGCCACAAAGTTTGTTGTAAGCACTGAACATTTCTACGTAACATATGTTAATTTGAAAATTTTGGGATCCACGGTCTTTTTAGCGCGAGTTAAATGAAAAAAGTACCCGATTTTTTACGGTACAGGCAGCTTTGCCAACTTTGCGATTTTCTTTCTCGAAAACTATCGTATGGACAAATTTGAATTTTAAACAGGTGGTAGCCTGATGTGATCTTAATCAGTGGCATATTTTATTTTTTCAATATTTCATACAGTTTCGCGGTTTAGTACGACGCCGTTATGTCGAAAACGACAGTAATTCAAATTCGACCCCCACCATTGGGATCTCAGAAACCATAAGAGATACAGAAATGGTTAAATGGGGGCAAAGTTGCGTATCTTAGAGCTCATCATTTTTCAACAAAGTTTTTGAATCTAGCCGTTTTAGTTTTTAAAATATGGCCGAAAAACAAAACAATTTATTCTCCTTTATTTTTCGTTTTTTCATGAATCTGAAAAAACATTCTTAAGGAAACTTTTTATGAAAAATGTCATGACACAACTAGAAATTTTCTCCGACGTTTGGTTTTCGTGAAACTATCATCAGGTTTATTCTTTTTTGTGAATAATTCAATGTTTTTTTAAATGAAATACATTGTGTGACATATCATTGAAATCAGAATTAATTATCATCCTATTTTTTGGTGTGAAAATCAAATATGGCGTTCATAAGAAAAAATAAACCTGATGATAGTTTCACGAAAACGAAACGTCGGAGAAAATTTCTAGTTGTATCATGACATTTTTCATAAAAAGTTGCCTTTAGAATGTTTTTTCAGATTCACGAAAAAACGAAAAATAAAGAAGTTATAGGCAAAAAACGAAAAAGTAATTTTTTTGTTTTTCGGCCATATTTTAAAAACTAAAACGGCTAGATCCAGAAACGTAGTCGAAAAATGATGAGCTCTAAGATATGCAACTTTGCCCCCATTTAACCGTTTCTGTATCTCTTATGGTTTCTGAGATCCCAATGGTGGGGGTCGAATTTGAATTACCCTGAATATCAAATAATGTCGGTTGTCGGATTCCTTTCTCAGTTTTTCAAAATTAGAGCCCCCTCATTTTTTCAGAGCGATTTAATGGAATTACAAATTAAAGAGAAACAGAAATAAGCTGTGCCGGGGGCCAATCGGAAGAGATGGTGCGTCTTATGGTGGGTTTAGGATGTCGTACGTAAAGGTTGTAACCGCAATCATTGCAGTAGTTGTAGCAGTAAAGAAAGTTAAATGATATTCGTTTAGTTGTTCCACATGATTTCTAAACAAAGGTGTAGTAGAACACCCTTGGCAAGTTACTTTAAAAGATGGTCTGTTTAGTCAAGATTCCAAAATGGTATAACACTTGCTATTTTTCTTTTCCTAAAAAATATGATTGCCTGTTTTTCTGCAAAAAACGCGTTATTTATTCATACTTTCGTATGTTATTTGTATTTCTTCCAAAATGATTTAACAACTTTGTTAGAAGATGTGCCACTCAATATCTACAGAGAAATGTGGTTTCAACAAGATGGTTGCCCAGCTCATTATGCTTGTCCTGTATGGGATTGCATACAGAATACCCAGAAAGATGGATTGGGCATTGTGGTTCGATTACGTGGCCCCCTCATTCTCCGGCTCTAAATCCGTATAAATTTTTTAAATAACGTGTTTTTTGCAGAAAAACAGGCAATAATATTTTTTATGACAAGAAAAATAGCAAGTGTTGTACCATTTTGGAAACTTGACTAAACAGGCCATCTTTTAAAATAACTTGCCAAGGGTGTTGTACTACTCCTTTGTTTAGAAATCGTGTGTCAAACTTAATAGACATAAATTCTTTCAACCTTAACTCAATCAAATTAATATATTTTTTGCAAAACTAACGACTTTTGTTGTTTGATTTGTGACTTCTACAGTAGCATGGTTCACAAAGAATAGATTATTAAAAAAATCACTATTAAATTGCGAACATTTCTGACCGTAGTACGTAAAGATATGATGTACGGGACCGATTTTTAACATTTTCAAAAGTATGTCTATTGCCACTTAACTAAGAGACATGGAATTTTTTCCTCATTTTTACTAGAACAGGTATGGGTTGGCCTCTCATCCGGTGCCCGCTTGACGTTGAGTTTCGGGACATCCTGTATAAATAAAATGGTTTCTTAGACTCGATAATTCAGCGACAGAAAATAGCGTACCCCAATTTTCGACAATTAACCATATTCAACCATTCAATTTCACCCAGCTTGGACGATACATCATCGCGCCTTCGCAAACCACACACAAACCTCGCACACGCATTTTAGACTGTTTCTATCCTTGCAACGACAGTCGCAGATAAAAAAGGGCCACACACCACGCTACCATAGTTAAAATCTGCTACCGTACAGTTTCGTTATTAACCTAGTGTCTCAAAGTATGATTTACGTTGATTGATGCTTGTGAGTCTAAAACTAGTTAAAGTGGATATTAATAATGTTTATACAAATGAAGAAATCCTTAATTTATTTTTTGTGCACGGCAAGTGCGACAAAGTTTTTAGTAGAACTTGCAGAATGTTTAATGAAAACTATCCACATTTACTTCCTATGACAAAAGATAAATTTAGAAGAATAGAAGCAAATGTTTTGCATTTTGGACGAATTAATCTCAGGGTACGATTCTTCATCTCGGGGATTTCGGGGTATCGCTCAGTTCTTCTCAGTTAACCGTTGAGCTATGTATTCCGTCCATGTCATCGTACCCCGAATCCCCACCATTACAATACGGCCTAGAATATCGTAGGCTCCGGCTCACATACATCAATTGACGTAAATAAGTAAGGCTTTGACAAAAACTCATTGAGAAGGCGTGTTTTCCATGACACACTAGGTTAAATATCCCTAGGATATGTGTGCATTTTTCAAAAAATCCTAATTATCTCCCAAACTATTAATGATAGGTATAGGGTATATGGGATATAAAAAATGTAAAATGAGACACCAAAGACGACAAAGTAATAAACTATGGGGAGTGCCATTTAAAAAAATTTATGAGATACGTACCCTAATTTACCACATTTAAAACAAGAATTATCATTATTTCCATTTACAGAAGAATTAACCGCTTGTACCGGTCTAACACGATTGTGAAGGGAAAATTGATGACTTTCCTCCACGTCGCAATTTCTACAGCTGTTTCTAAATTTAAATTTTGCTCTCTAACAACAAAATCCCAACATTTTGCGATATCTCCCTCCTAATACCTTTTAAATTGATTTAGCACGCTTTCCTTGATTTTTTTCTTTAAACCTGGTAACTCCTCAGCCGTCGCTTGACTCGTGTCAGCTTCTAGCATTTCACTAGCTATCAATTTTAGCCTCGTGGCATATTCGGTTATTGTTTCGTTCATCCCTTGGAACGCTCTATTCAGTTTATTATACGCTTCTCCTGGAATTCTTCTGGGTAGAAACCTATTTATAAATTTATCTTTAAATTGTTGAAAGGCAATCGCTGGATCAAGGAGCGATTCTTCACCTTTATAAAATCGATAAGCCTCTCCTGTCAAGCGATATTTGACGATCCTTAATGTTTCTTGCTCAGTCCAGTTGTCGAGCAACGCTCTTTGCTCGATTCTCTCAAAGTATAATTTTACGTTTTCTTTCCCAAAAAACGCTTCTACCGAAGCAGCAACCATCCCCAATGAAACAGGGATTACATTATCTCAACGCGCTTCTGTGCCTGCATTACCCTCATTTTTATTCATGGTTAGTAATGTTCTGTTGGTTTGGTATTTTTACAAATGGAACACGGGGATAAGGATTTGGACCTAAATATTTAACCACCCCCGTAGCGATAAGTTCTTACCACCCAAACCATTATCCCTCAGATAAAAATTAACGTATTGTGTTTTTATCTGTTGTTTAACTTTACAAAACACTAACCCTAACGGAATGTAAATAATTTCGCAATTAAATTGACCAATTTGACAAAAAATTAGCACAACCCCACACCTGACAACAATTTGTAAGGAGCGGCTCTTACATAGAAAGGCGGGTGCGCAATGCGTATGCGACAAATGGAAATTTGTCACGCAATTATTAATTTGGTCAAGATTTGGAAATAAAAGAAAATTCTAATTTTAATCTTTACTTTAATTTATTAATAATATTCAAAAAAACTACAGAGGAAACAATAAAACAAAATCTATCAATCAAAATCAAATTATAACAAACAAAATCTAATAAACAAAATTCATTGAACACAATTTGTCAAACAAAACTTATCAAACGATTTAATGAACAATAATTGTCAAATAAGACATACCAAATTAGGTATACGGAAACACATACCAATCAAACAGAAATTAAGCAATTAGTATAATTTTACAAAACATTACTCACAAAGGCTTAAAAATCTCGTTTTGGAACGGGGTTCTTCCAACCAACGAACTTATTTCTCAATTTTCGATTAACTCTTCTACTTCTGAATCTTCTGGAACCACCTCTGCTATTTCCAACTTTCTCAGGTGACTGGTTCCTCGGCCTATTTCTCTCTCGTTCTTTAAACTCTCTTCAACTCCACTGGAACTGAACTTCTAGTCCTTTACCCGTCTAAGATTTTTAAACCCTTTCCTTCCGAGTGTTATTAATCTAAACAATCGTTTCCATTAGCCGACAACTCGGACAATCGAAACGTTCGCACTAAACTAAAGTAGGGGAGAAATCATACAGAGAACCTTTACAAAACTGAAAATTAAAACAAAATCAAACAATAAATTTAATAGACCCCACGGTTCCCTACAGTACTTTCAAATTTCGAAAAGTTAACGTGCCATAGTAAAGTTACCAAACGATCTAGACAGCCGTTCTCGGCACCAAAACATACTTCATCATCTTGCTTAAACATGTTCTGAGTCCTAAATTGATATCCCAGAAATCGAGTGTTCTCTGATTTTTTTGGACAAATACCTCCTGGAGCAGATTTTTCTAGAAAAATTCGAATAACTCGAGAATAACCGAATCAAATTGCAAAAAGTGAAGTTATTTATAAACCTTGAAAACAGACAAATCCAAATATGTAAAAATATACAGGTTATTCCATTTAAAAAGTAAAATAGGTGGCGACTTCCGGAAGTGCTAGAAATCTGAAAATATTTATTTATTTTATTATTATATCGAAGAGAACGCAATTGATAATATTTAAGTCTGAATTCTCAAATTTTTATTTTGGCCAGACCCCATAAACGTCTAATGAACGGTCTCGCTGAGTCACCCTGTATAGATCTTTAATTTATTTTATTACTTTTTTTAAGATTGTTTCTTTGGATTTTCAAAACAGTTTCCTGTCTTGATACTAGAAAATAAAGGTTATATCCTTCAAATGCTGGAATCATTGATACTTTGCCCTGGAAATGTTTCCGAACAAGTTTTGGAAGCTGTTGTACCATTAACTAAACCGTCGCCTACTTTGAGGGATCATTTAATTCTGCTTTTAAGGAAAGGTTTGCATTCAAGGTAACTTAATTAAAAATCGCCTTTATTAATCTTGAACATTTCATAATTTGAATGTTTATGATGTTGTTGTTCTATTTAACTTTAATCTTTTTTATTTAACGTAATACATCCCAGGTAATTTGTAAATACAGAGTGGTTTGTACATAAATAATAATTACAGAATAATCATAGTAACAATAATAATAATAAGCTTTACAAACAACAATAACATGAACAGGACAAACCCGAGCCTGTTCTAGCTACAATTTTTTCACCTTAAGGGGGAATCTCTTTTTTTATATTAAATAAAGTGATATCTTTCGGAATTTTTGGCTGCCAAACTATGTGCTCTTCCAATTTAATCTTTTTCCTAAGTTTATAACATACATTTATTTATTTAAGAACACATTTGTTTATAAAAAATAACGTCTGCTATGTCCTTCAACAACGTTGTAGCGTGAAGTATCTAAATGGTTGATTGACATGATATCTACCCTTAAGATGATATGAAACAGAAAAATCAAATGGTGTTCTCTTCTATATATGTACATGTGATTATCGTCTAAACTAGAATTAAGCAAAAAACAATTTGACAAAATGGCGCCTAGTTAAATTAAAATAACCGATTTTGCTCTTAAAATCGGTAAGTTTATTGCAAAAAAAAACGTATGTATATGTATGCGTTTCGAGAAAAACGCATTTAAAGTTTTAAGGACAATTTAATATTCAATACTTACTCTGCCATACCGGGGCCGTACACTATTCCTTTTTCTTGCTCGTTGAAATCTTCTTTCTCCTGTTGATGCATTCTTTGTTGGGTACGAGCTCCTTTTGTCGCTTGAAGGCTGCGTCGAGCCGATTGCTCCAAACGCTTTTCCTGAGAGTTGGCATACATTTTCTGCTCACCAATTTTAATTCCCATTGTCCCCATAACTTTTAAAATAGCAAAACAGTCTTCATTAAAAATGCTCGCTGCTATATAAGCGAATATTTAAACTGTTTTTAAACCACAGTGTAGATGTTTGGGGCTAATCGCCAAACAGTAGAATTAAAGCTTTCATTATTATTTTGAGTTTTACTACCCCAACTTCGGCTTTACGCCATTTACACCATCTCTCTACTCCGATTGGGCAGTACATATGCTGCGGATTTTCGTTTGAAGATAGTTTATAGTAGTAGGTTGCCCAAACAGTATTATACATATCTTCAACAGAATTTGGATGTCTCCTTAGCGCTAACCCATAAAAAAAATAAATAAATCGTTAGTTCTTTTATTAATCTGTCTGTCAACTTATTCTTTCCACCAAGTTTTTTATGTATTTTTCACATTTTTTAGTCGTGTACCCATGCACTTTTCAACGTGACCTATGTAGTATTTTTTTATGTAAAGTAATCGCCATAAGGATTCATAGCCAACAAGGCTTTAAAAGTTGCTGTATTGCTATCGCCAATATAATTTGTATACCTCACTTCATACCACTCCCAAGATCTTTGAAAGATCTCTTTTATAGCATCTACCTCCATTTTACCAGCCGATCCTTCATGATTTATCGTACAATTCTATTTCATTATAGGTGTAAATTTTTTCAAAAGGAAATTCCACTATTTGAGACGATGAAAAAATTTTATTTTAATTTTAAATCGGTGCTACGCTCGTTTCGACCACAGACAGTCGCACATCGACCACATTACAGTAAAGTCGATTTTCAACATAAATTTTCAAAAATCTGTTTTTGTAACTTAAACTCTAGTAACTTTTACGCTTACCTAATCTAACATTTTACACCGAATTCATCTCGTCTATTTTTTTGTGTTTGTCATGTTTTTTAGTATCGGTTTAATGCCTGGTGGAATAATAACCACTTTACCGATATAAAGAATTCAACCTACATTTAAATTTTAACAACATTTTGTACGCCTAATGGTTTTATTTTGTAAAGTGCTTTGCTCAAATTGATTAAATCTTGTAAGTAAATACACCGTAAACAGAGTTCGAAAGATCGTATTATCCATATTGCTTAATTACGATGTTAAGTTTATTTCTATTAAACATTTGCTGCATCCTAAGATGACGTGCCTGAAGTAGACCAACTTATTGGTCGAAACGACCGTAGCACCGATTTAAAATTAAAATAAAATTCTTTCATCGTCTCAAATAGTGGTATTTTGTTTTGAAAAAATTCACACCTATAATCAAATGTACACGATGAATATTGAGTCAACGTTGGCCGAATTCACTTCATGTTCATCCATCCAAGTATTATATTCTTCAGTCCCAGATCTTGGTTTCCATAGCTGACAAGCCTGTCAGTACGACGATTTTACTATAAGATCGATCACTTTTCCGCTATACTTTCCGGTAAGAGTCGTCATTCCAAATAATGAATTAAAGCCCCTTTTCTTCCACATTCGAACACCGGACACAGTAATTTCTGTTGCCGAATTGCCGTTTTCAGTATTTTTGATTTTCTCCTCCTCTACTGCCTTTTTCTTCAATACATCAAATACTGCTTTTGATCTTATATACATATTTTCTAAAGCAGCATAGCACCATAATCCACGAGACCACAAAATAAATTTAACCCCTCTCTGGAAACTCCTAATAATCTCATAACTAACGCTAACCTTCTATTTACTTCTTACGATTTGTTTTCAATCATAGAAGAAGAAAGTATATATTGAACACCACATTCACATTCCATCGATACTTTAAATCCTAATCCACAAACACTGGATTCACCGAAACTAATTTGTTTTTTACATATTTTACAAATTACTAATTCCGAAATTGAGGTAAACACAGATAAAAATGCAATAATTCGGTAACCATGAGTTAGGTTCCCTATTATATCTTCATCTCTAGTTATCACTAATGACGCAACTGACATACTTGCATACGTAGTTTCCGTCTCCTGCGTATATCTATTCCAGACAAATTTTCCTTTTTTTGTATATCTGCGTGTTTAGAACTTCCCTTTGAATGTCTTCTATCCATTCTTGCCTTCGCAAACACGTCTAAATAATACAGATAAGTTCAATCTTGTTCTTAGAGCAGTCTTTAGTAATCATACCGAACCTGGAATTGTGACAGTTGCGGCAATATACCACAATTTTAAACAACATCGGTTTTTATGACAGTCATAAATAAAAGCCGGGTAAAGACAGGGTCGAATTTAAATTTGTTTAAACTAAAGTTTTATTTTAAACCTATTATTTCTCCATAATTTGCAAGTAAGGTGTGTTCCTTAATGCAGCCCCGAGTGAAGAATCCAGGTTTTGTCCCTTTTACTACTACAGCAGAAAAGGGACGGAGTTTTAAAAACCGATCTCGATGTGGAAAACTATAATAACCTACACCGTATTTGTTAAAGGTTTATAACTTCTACAATTTAAATAATTTTAAATTAAAACTTCATAGAGGTATTGTTCAGACTCTAGACTACGAGATTTTGCTATAAAAGAAAAAAGGATTTAAAAAAAAGACATCCCCCCACCTTAAAGAATGCCTTTTCTTTTATTTACATTATTGCAAATATACAAATAATAATCTTTGTTGACGTAATTTCAACATTTATTTATCAGTTTTTAACAAAATTTATGTATTTAAAAAAATTAAGTTACCTTAGCTTATATTTTTTTGCTTCTAATACTTCTTAAGATAACTTTTTCATGAACACGTTTTAAAGAAATGATTTCACTTAAGTCGATATTATTGTCCTCGGCCTATTGTAATGCAGTTTCTAAACATTTAATTGCGACAGCATCATAGTTGAACGTCATAGTAGAATTGTAGTTGATCTAAAAATCTTTTAGACACATTAACATATTAAGGACCGCAGGGACATCTATAAGACATACCTCTGGGACCGCACGTTTTTGACCCATTCGTGTTGCGCACGAGAAAACTCGTGAGCGGTCCGTAACAGATTGGACGCGAAACACGAGAAATCTCGTGAGCGGTCCCTGATGTGTTAATATTGATTTCAAATCAAAGGTGTGTAACCAAACTGTACACTACTTACAGGTTTCAGAAATGAAAGAGTGTCTTTAACAATATTTTCTGCTACATTTCTTCACATATTCTGCAAAGTTGACAGCAGTAATTTTTCATCAGTATCATACTCTTCATTACTTCTTATTTTATGTCAATATTTTTGCCAAAGTTTCTATAACTGCTTCTTCATTGTGACACACAATAAACCTTAATAAACTGTTTCTATAATACAGTTTCGTGATTGTTAAATTGTTTTGATCCATAGGCTAGATCAGAGCTGCGACATTTGGTTTTAAGAGCACGGCGTATTCCATCTTCAGTTTTATGTTCTTGTTTGGAAGGATGTGAAGGCGCATTACCTAAAAGGAATAACGCCCTTTGTGGAAGATTTTCTTTTTTTAAATATGTATCTCAACCTAAAATTCGATCAACTGTAGCAATAATTTTTTCCCTAACACATTATTAGTAATACCTCTGGTACGAAATAGTCATTTTAGATGTTGGTGTAAATAACTGGGTTATTAAAATTCTTGAAACATCTGAGATTTTTAGCTTTTCCAATTACTAGGGGTTATGACATATGAGATCGAGACTCATTTGCACATCCAAGAAAAGTTATACGTTGTTTTGCCGTGTATCCGAACACTGCGCGATCGATTCGTTGTGATTATGTTGAATATTGCCCAGATTCGTGTCGGTTGAGCAAAACCCTCTGGTTTGCTTGTAACACTTGGCATACTCTGGTTGGCAGAGCTGTACTTTTCTTCCAGTCTTCTCTCCAACGCTCAATTATGTTGAAGTTATTTTCGATTAACATTTTTGTAATTTTTAGAGCCAGCAACGTGGGAGCAGAGCACTAATCTTTCCATACTCACTGGTAATTGCATGTCCTCGACGAACGTGTGAAGGAGCTATATGGCTCAGAGCAGGCTACCAGTAAGCGGGCGTGGCCTTGATTGTGCTCGATATGGTATTTTTGAGGATATGTATAGCTTGATTGAGTTGGACATTAACACGATTAGTGTGCCCCGGTATTCCATATCCCCCCCATGTCCGTTGTTCTCGCTTTGGTCGCCTTTCGAGCATCCGGCCATTTCCGAGGCTAGTGTTAATTCTCTGATTATTAAATCCACCTTGTAGGTGATTAGCCCGACGAAGACGCCCCGATACTGAGTCGCCAGAGCCTCCTTAATTATCTAGCAGGGGCACCGCGTGTTGGTGAGGTTGGTATTTGGGTATCTGGATGGCGGTCTACTCCTCCGTCCTTTTCCCCCTCATCTATAGCGCTTCTATCAATATCAGTGTTCATGTTATTCTTTTGATACCACTGTAAATTGGGTTGACCCCTCATAGCAAAGTCCTAACTTTTCTTCTTTGTTCTTCTTATGCTTATTTAACTTAATTTTCTTGTCTATATTTCGTTGCGTCTAAACTTGTAATCCCTTTTATTTATTCACGGAGCTTAAAACACGATGTCATCAATTTTAACATTTATTATGATATATATTAAGGGATAGACACGTTAACAAACAATTACAAATCATTTTACTCTGATCTGGGGTTTTGGAGCGTTCGTAGCATAAAGAGTTCTTATAATTTCGAAGGAATTTTCTATCTGCCTTTTGAGGTCTTATCAAAGCCTGAAAATATATTTGGATAGCATCTGAAGGTATTTTTTTGAATAAACGTTGGGTGAGAAATAGGGTTTTAAAGAGATATCGTATAATATTGCGGCTGAGTCCCTATTATTATTGTTATACACCTTGTATTTAAACTTAAAACTTAAGTAGAGCCGTATTTATAATCAAATTATTATTCTTTTCAGAACACCCTCATCTCAAACGATAGCAATCAAAGGATTTTTAAAACTTTTAACCATCTTGAAAATTTCAAACCTAACATCGTTAACGAGTCAATTGGCCGGATCGCAAAGTTCCTCATCCGGACTGTCGGTTTTAACGCAAATTTCAATGAATTGCACTGTTCATACTACGCAAGGAAACATTTTTTCGAACGAGGCTCTTTGTTTGGAAGTGTTGGGCATTTTAAAACGGTGCTTTACGCAACCTTACGCGATTAAATGTAAGCTATACGAAGGTTTATCTGAAGTAGTTTCAAGAAATTCAGAAATAAGCGAAGCTGTACTCGATTTACTTTGGAATTATTTTATTTCTAAATATTATGTTTCGGATGAAAATGTTTGTCCGCCTATTAAATTTAACGAGGTTTTTGTAACAAGAGAAATTGATGTTGTTTTAGAGGTAAGAAAAATGTTTTAAAAAGTTTCGAATATATATAATTTGTTACAATTTTTGAGGAACCCATTGGAAAATTATTATTTACTATTTCTCTTATCACCAATAAAGTTTTAAAGCGCGATGATCAAAACTTAACCGCTAAAAAAATTGTTACTGCTTTGAATTCAATAGTTGAGAGAATGGGGAGATGCGAACTTGTTCACTTTGAGCTGGTAAGTTCTATTTAAAGCTGCTTTAAGTGTTTGATTAAATCTTTTAAAATCAAAGGATGATGGAACGTTTCTTCTGGACGTTTTACCCGAAGCAAAATCGAAAGTTTTCGTTTTAGCACAAGCAATGACAGTATATGAAGCTCTAATCGGATACAGAATAGTAGCTTGGGAGAAAAAATCCGAAAATTACGCTCAAGACATTAACACTTTATTCCAAGGATATTTTAGATTACAACGATGCGCTATGGTATATTATAAAAATTTATATTTTTCCTATCTATATGATTATTTTATTTAGGATGCCCATAAAAGTAAAAAAGAGGATCGCAAGAAAAAAGATGGTAATAAAACCGGAAATGATCAAATCAATATTTCTTCAACAAGCAAAATAAATACTTCGACTCAAAACGACTCGAATTCTACTAAAACTGGCGTTAAAAGTAGTAAACATATAAAAATTCCTGAAAGTATTTTTAACTTTAAAGTTGTTAAAAAGTTTTTGAAAATTTTACATTGGTAATTACATAATTTTAATCATTTAAAACTGATATACTCATAACTTTATTTTTAGTAACGTTGAATTTATTCCAACACTTTCGCTAAATCAAATAAAATCAAAAAGCGAAATTCACCGCCACGTGATGCAATCGACGATTAATCTCGTTCAATCCTTGAAAAAATCAAAACATTTATCTACAAATCAAAAAATTAAAGATTATAAAAATTGTTTAAACGTTGCTAAAATTATTTATAAACGTTGTTTAGAACGGATGGATGAATTTGTCGATTTTGATCCCGTTACGACGGTTTTAGCAGCAGATTGTTTCCAAATTATTTTAAAGCTGGTGTGTACTCGTTATAATGATGATTTAAGTAAGTTTCTGTGTGAAGTTGCCGATTTGAACGAGAACAAAACTGAATTCCTTGGACGTATTAATGTGTTCATTGAAAAATATCAAGAACTATTCGAAGCTGATTTTACTGCAGGAACTGGAGACGTGGATGGAAGAAAGCTTCAATTGATTGTTCTGTTGACTCTTGAGATTTTGATTCATGAGTTACCTGACGAAGCTACTTTACCATCTAATAAGGTGAGAAAAAAATTACTTTTAATAACATTTTGATACACACATGATAATTTTTTAAGTATTATTTTTATAAATCACTAAATTACCTTTTACACCTCAAATATTAATAATTCATCATATTCTCTCTTCTCTCCAATGACGCTGCAGCCCAAATTGAACCTTGGTCCCTTTATCTTTTGCCTTCAACACTGCCAATCAAGAGCTAAACTCTTCCAGGTTGTGACGCTCATGAGTCCTTGTGTGTCCTCCGTCATTTCGTTCACCCATTATTTTCGTGGCCTCTCTCGTAGTCTCTTGTATTGCATTATTGCTTACGAGCCTTTTTGGCATTGGATCCTCACTCATTCGTGTCACATTTCCGTGTTTGCTACCTACCGACTTCTGAGATAGCGGCTTCTTTGAACAGATGGTTAAGTTCCACGTTATATCGCCTTCTCCATATTCCATTCCCCTTTATTGGACCAAAGATTTTCCTCACTATGTTTCTTTCAAATACTTCCATCTTATTCTTTGCGCTCTCTGTAATAATCCAGGTCTCGCAGAAGTGTGTTTTCCAGGTCGTTTATATCATTTGTGTCTCGCTTATTATCTATCCTTCAGCATTCTTATAGAATTATAGACAGTTTATGTATATCCTTCCCTTAGATCGCGTAGGTGTCTATAAGCTGTTCACAAGTCATTACTTTGTTGGAAATCATACTCCATTCTTTGTATCTCATTATTTTCCTGTTTTTTTCTTGCGGTTACGGCATATCTTGTCTCGCTTCGTCAAAGGTTGCTCTTCTTTCTCTTGCCCTTCTTTCCATGAATTTCTTTGTGCCATGTTCCTTTTCTGTATGGTTTTTTGTACTTTTCGTGGAACCACTCTGCTCTTTCTTCTTATTGTCTATTGAAGGGGTGGGGAAGACCGTCGGGAAGGCGTTAAGGGCCCAGGGAGGTCAGTGGTGACGCTGAAATGGGGGCCTAAAGGAGGTTATTTCGATATGAACTGGATTCCGTGAGTCTACGGAGTCTCTGGGGGTCCTGGACACGTGGAAGGGATGATCTTAGGCAGTGATGGGCGCTGGGTAAATACCCGGCGGGTAGGTATTTCTAAAATGGGTATTTATCCGGGTATTTACCCCGGCCCAGGGTAAATACCCAAAGAGTGGGAATAAAAGTGATACCAGTAAAAATATATCAGATTCCAAAAAAAAAATGAAGAGGAAGACGATGAGGACGTTGAAGACGAGGAATTGTCAACAGTCAAAGACGTATTATCATTAAACGAATCGGTCGTAATCTAGATTAGATCAAATTATTATGATTATTATCATCATGCAGCCCTCTGCGTCCATTGTTGGACATAGACCTCCCCTATTCTGTTTCATTCGATTCTATTTTGTGCTGTCTGAATCCAGTTGTTAGTCATTCTTTTGACCTCTACTTAGTCTGTTCGCTCGCGGTCTCCATTCAAGCAACAGTTTTGTCCACTGCTCATTCTTTATTCGCGCGACATGATCCTCCCAGTTCCACTTAAGCTTTGCCACAATGTTGATTACGCCAGTTCTTCTTCATTTCGTATGTAGTTCCTGAGAGTGAGAACCAGGATTGACCTCTCCATCTATCTTTGCGTTACTTGGATCCTCCTTATGTCCGCCTTATGTCATAACCGGAAACACGCATTGATTGAAATCCTTTCTTGGCCTTTTCTCTTGAAGATGTCTCTAAGTTTCCGGTAGGCTGCCCATACGAGTGTGATCCTTCTGTTTAATTCGCTTGTTTGATTATCTCTCGATACACGAACCTCATAGCCAAGATATACATAGGTGTCAACCCTCTCAATCTCATTATCTCCAATGTTGATGTTAGAGCTGGGAACAAGATTTATCATAAATTTTGATTTCGCCTCGTTGATACTTATCCCGACTCTTGCACACACCTCTTTTAAGTCGTTCAGCATTAATTTAATCTCTCAAAGGCTATCCGATATAAGAACTATATCTTCGCGTAGCGCAAATTAGTGCAAATTAAGCATTTGCAGTCAATGTTTATGCCTTTTTGGGTCCAATCCAGTTGTTTAAATGCACTCTAAGGACTGTGATGAACAATTTGGTTTCAATAGTGTATCGCCTTGTTTTACTCACAATTAGTACTTTACTACTTCTACGTCATTGTAGCATTCTTGTAGATGTTATAAATAAGTATGGTATATCGATAATCGACTCTGCATTCTTGAAGTGCTTGCAAAACTGCCATCAACTCAATTTAAATTAAATTTTATAAATACCTCTTAATACCTATCTTGGGTAAATACCCCAAAAAAAAATTGAAAATAAATACCCGGGTATTTAACAACACTGGTCTTAGGAGAGAAGGCCAAGAAAGCTAGAATGAAAATTTTTCCTTGGGTGAAGAAACCTGTCCGGGTGCCACAACCAAATGTGAATGTGGGTGTGTATTCTCCATTTTTATTGTTGTTCTCATGTAGTGAGTGTTTACCTACTGTTTCTATGATTTGTTCGAATATCCCCAATTAATTTTAATATCGTTTCTAGGGCATTTGTAAAATTCCTACTTCTTTTCTACCTCATTTTCTATTGGACTATGGGCATTGATAACAGAGATATTAAAAAATCTTCATTTTATTCGAAATTTACCTAGTTACTAGATTGTCCGTTTTTGTATCTCGAATTCCTTCTCCCAACCATTTTATCTTCTGTATTGCTGCTAGTACTATTTTATATTTATTAAGTTCTCTGAGGTGGGATGTTTGAGCATCCGGTTTGTTCAACGTAAAGACATTCCATGTTCTAAAGATCACGTACTTGTATCTTTTCCGGAGTCGACTTCGTAAGATTCGTACATGTTTCTGAAATAATTGTTCAGGTCTTGCAATTATGTAGTTTAACGGGCACAGGTAGTTAGTCTATTGCCCAACCTAGAGGACCAGGGACCCTTCTGTAGGAGTTGCCATTCCTTAGCCGATTACATTGCCCGACGTTACACGAATCGGGACGTGGAGGAAGGATTAGTTAGCGCATCTAGAGTAGACTGTGGATGTTTCTCAGAGTTTTGTACAGCCCTGGAATCGCCATCCTATTCTGCCTCCAAGGCTACGTCGTTTGGATAGTAAATTGAAATTGAAAAACACTCATTACTACCTTCGTTTATTTCTTCGTCTATCCATCTATCAAACTGTTTATTCTCTTCTTTCACTTACAGCAGTGACAGTCGTTGAGGTGGATGGAAATCTGGGATATTTTCGTTGACTAAAAAAAATTGTGTGTGGTTAAATTGAAGGTCCACGACATTGTCTTTTATAAAATGCAATACTCTTTTGTAAATACGATGTCGGATAATGTTGGATTTTTAGCTTTGATTTTGTCCTATACTGATTTTGTATGAATCATATGCCTTTTTCCAAGCGTATTTCAAAGAGATAATTGCATACTTAAAGAATCACGCTTCTGACAAGTGTTTGTTTTCGGTTTCTGGAATGACAAATTCAAAGTACGAAGTACTCAGTACTCATCAACAGTTCTTTGGTTAACCCTTAGCTACACGCGCTTTATGTTCAAACCTCGCTGCACGCGCACAGTACTCCGTACCGCATTTGAACTTTTAACCGTTTCGTCGGTTTACTGCGACATACACTGTTGGAAATAATTCACGAGCAGACCCTGTATAATCTGAACGCGTGTGTCTAGCGGAATAAAATTTGGTATGGAAGTAGTACTAAAGTAGTGTAACTTACTCTCACATGGAGAGCGGCACAACTCTGCTGGGAGATGAAACATCAATAGCGAGTATCCCCCGTGAGCTTCGCGTACCATCGCTACACGACGTGGCATGGAGTCTATAAGTCGCTGTATTGTAGCGAGAGGGATGGCCAACTATGCCACCTCAACTCGCCTCCATAGCACCAAAACGTTAGCCGGGGAAGCCGGATAACGTTGAAGTCTTCGACCAGTCATTTCCCAAACATGTTCGATTGGACTCAGATCCGGAAAACGAGCTGACCTAGGAAGCATTCGTATACGATGCTCTTCCACAAAGGTCTGTACAATACGCCCGATGTGCGTTCGGATGTTGTCGTGCATGTATAGGAAACCTGGACGCCGCCGAACGTAGGGAAGCACAACGGACCGTAGCACCTCATTTAAGTATCGTTGACCCGTCATGGTCTGCTATACACGCAGCAGACATGTACGTCCACCATGTGTAATAGCACCCCATACCATAATGCTCGGTTGTCGGTGGATAGGGCATTCTTGCACGCACTGCTCGAGTAGACGATCACCACGTCTCCGACGAACTAAAATTCGCGCATCACCGGTGCTCAATTCGAATCTTGATTCGTCGGAAAACAAAATGTCCCTCTACTTGGCAACCCACTAATGCCTAGCGTTGATCCACTCGTCACGTATGCTGCGGTGCTCGTGTGTTACTGGAATCCGCTGTATCGCACGACGCGCGCGCAGTCCACTATCTACCAAACGCCGCCATACAGTTCGCGTAGTGAGTGAGCCTTCCCCTGCCGGTGGCCAAACAGCTCCAAGTTGCCTTGAGGAGGACGCACACGACGCTAAAGCGCTGAGCACAAGAGTGCGATCCTCGTGTGCCGGGGTCGCGCAGGGCCGTCCCGGCCGCGGCTGTAGGTACCTATGTCCTACCTCAGACCATTCTCGCCATGCCCGTTGCACTGCCGATTGCGACCGCTCGAGACGACGCGCAATTTCACGAAACGATACACCCTCAATGTACATACCCACAAACATTCCTCGCCCAAACTCGCTTAAGTAACGCGATCGCTCATCCATTGCGCACAGAGTACGATAACAATGTGGTCCCTCACACCACACTAAAAACGACCGGTATTTTCCATCCACTTCGATCTCCATAGCGACGGAATGTTCCACTTGGAAGGGCGGCTCAGTCAACAATGCCGCGACGGAACAACTCGAAACTCGCTGAATAAACTCGTCTACAGTAAAGCTTTGTAGTCCGCAAATATTATGGATTTATTTTCACGCGTTCAGATTATATAGGGTGTGCTCGTGAATTATTTCCAACAGTGTATTAATATCAAAAATGATACGTATGATCGGAAAATATCAATAGTTAGTAAAACAAACGATTGGGAAACGTGGCTTTTGCACACAAACCTTGTGCACTCGGTACAACGCACGGTTGTTGTGTTATGTTTGTGTTTACCGTATTCGTGGCATAGACCTCGTCTTCTTTGATCAGGAACCGCTTGCTCCTCTGGACCATCTTGATACCTAGCCAGAAAACTTTTTATATCATGCGGAAGGCTGGCTTTCCTAGCTCTTTTTTTTTGAAGATCATTTTCAAGAAGGCTAAAAGACAATGCTTCTAGAAAATCCATCCCCGTCTTTGGTTTCTCAGCAGTTATCATTTGGTTATAATATGGAAATTTACTCCCGCTATATCCAAAAATCTAAAAAACAAAGTAAGCGGCCATATCCGGGTTCTTCTTCTATGTACATAGGACACAGCACAGGACGAACCCAATAAAAGCTGTGTCACTCAAAAAAAAAAGAATAAAGCAAAATAATAAAGACACAAAATAACATCAGTAGTGAACAGTAGTAAAAAAAGAAAATAAGATAAGTAAAATAAACGATCAAAAATTCTGATTGAAATTAAGGAAACATTCTATAAACAAGTAAAAAATAACAACAATAAGGAATTGCTGATTGTAATGTTAACAATGATACGGCATGCTCCCAACAGCATCTAAAGTCGATTTTTTAAACGAGCTAATGGGTTCATAAGCAAATATATCGATGGACAGACGATCGGCTGATCGAGCGGCACGCAGCAATGGGGAATGTTGATAAGCATTAGTGCGGGTTGTAGGAGTGAAAAAGAGAAAATCATATCTCAGCGTTCTGGGCGGAACATGCAAATTCACTAGAGACGTAAGCGAAGTCGAATTATAGATATTATAAATTAATTTATAGAATAGCAATACGTCACTAGCAAAACGTCGCTGAGTCAGTCGCAGAAACCGAAAGGATTGGCAATATGAGACTTCCGACATAAAAATCGAAGGAATCTCTTTTGGACTACTTCTACTCTTTTCACGTACATGTCATATTTAGGATTCCAGACGACAGAACAATAATTTAAAACACATTTTTTGTTCTGCATTTAACCGAGATCGCTTGCGGCCGAGTCTCTACAGTAAATATATCATCTTGAAGCTGGTTAACATATTGTTACGCCTCATCCGCAACCGACCTCGGCTTAATAAAAACATCTCGATTAAGTTTGTTGGATGATTCCGTACGATTCAGCCGAGGTCGCTTGCGACTGAGACTCTACAATAAACCTATCATCCTGAAGCTGGTTAACTGGGTTGCCGCTTGACTTGACTTAACTATTTGTTTGTAAAATTAATTAGAAAAGCAATTATATTACACTATAAATAAGTGTTCGTGCAGCGATTACAAATCCATTTCTTATTGATAATATTTGTTATAGAATTATTAGTATTATTGCTGCTGGGCTGAGGGGAGCGGCCCCTCTCGTTACCGCGACCTATAAGCTCTATTGTAACTTTAGCCCTTAAAAAGTTTAGAGCAAATGTAGGTCCTTGATGAACCTTAGTATTACCCCAAGGTCTTGTACCTTTATGTCGGTAGGTGTCAAAAGAGCTTTACCGAAAATTTTGTGTCTTAGACGGCCTCTGGCGACGCAATTACACAGTATATGTTCAGTTGTTTCTGACTCGTCGTTGCAAAGTCGACAAGTTTGATCCTCAGCTAGTCCAATGTGGAAGAGGTGGTATTTTAAGGGCGCATGGCCGGTCAGGTAACCTGAGAGCTTCCTTAGATCCCTTTTGCTGAGACATAAAACATCTTTGGTTTTGCTTTGCAACGGAATTATACTCTTCGCTTGTCTGTGACCTGGAAGTTCTTTCCAGCGTAAAGATATCTTTGGGGCCTCCCAACTGTTAATTATTTGTTTTAGGTGGCTTTTTTGTAGTCCACAACCAGGTTGGGGTCCAATGAAGGGCGTATTCGCTGCCTCTCTGGCCACCACTATGGTGGGCCTGGGACCCACCATAGAGTAACATCATTGCCCCTAGCGAGTTCTCTCAGGTTGCTGGTACACTCTCTGATCAGTGCGACATCACACGTGTAGGCCTGAATTCGGATCTAACTGTCTTTGAAGCATCGGTGTACCAGCCTAAGGCTCCTCTTTTTAGTTGAGGCCCATCCTTCGCCTATTCATCCCTGCTTCTAAATATGACCTTATACGATTGGTTGAAATTGTATTCTATCGGTATAAGGTCCGCTTTAATTACAATCAGGTGATTTAGACATGGGTTTTTGAGGTTTCGAGGTGTTCTCTGAGGTTACCATTCATTAATTTGAGTGAAGAAACTGTTTTCAGTGATAAGGCACTTAAATCTGCCTCCTTTTGTATATATAAATGGAGTGGTGTAAGACCGAGTAGTGCTTCCAGAGCAGCCGTTGGACAAGATCTCATTGCACCCGTTATATTAAGACATGCTAACCGCTGGATTTGTGCCAGCTGTTGTTGAGCTGTCTTATATTTTGTTTTTGGTCACCAAACCAGTGAGGCGTAAGCGACCAAGCGTCTGATTATTGCTACGTAGGCCCAATGAGTCATTCGTGGTTTGAGACCCCCAGTTCCTTCCTAGGAGCCTGCGGCAGATCTGGTTTGCCATGATGGCCTTTTTCCTTACCTTATCTAAGTGTGAGTTCCAGTTTAGTTTACTGTCAAGTATTACCCCTAGGTATTTAGTTTCTGTTTTGAGGTTAATAGTTCTGCTTACAATGGAGGGTGCTTTTAATTGTAGCTTCTTTCTCCGAGTGAAAGGGACTATTTCGATTTTATTTGAATTGATGCTGAACCCAGTGCTTCTACATCAACTGCTGGGGAGTAGTAGGGCTTTCTGCATTAGTTGAGAGATTGTACCATATTTACCTCTTTCACTCTCTCTGATTACCAGGTCATCAGCATACCCCTGAATCTTGAATCCATTTTTTGTTAGGGTGTTCATCAAGTCAGACTGGCTGTGATCTGCCGACTTTACACCATGGCTATACACCATTTGATTGATGGATTCATAGGATGTGGTATCAAAAGCACCCTATGTGTCTATGAAAACACATAGGGTTATAGCTTTGGTTGCAATTGCCTCCTCTAAAGTGCTATTCAAAGCATGGAAAGCAGTAATTGTTGATTTTGCTTTCTGGTAAGCATGTTGACTAGAGTGGAGTAGATTAGTGACAAGCACTCCATTCCTAAGGTATTGATCAATTACCTTTTTCATCCTTTTGAGGAGAAACGAAGTTAGACTAATTGGTCTGTATACCTTGCGGTCAGCATTTGAACGCCTACCACCTTTACGTATGAAGACCACCTTGTTATAGAATACCTATACATATTGCAAACATTTTGTATGTACTTATAATTCAAAAACATGTCTTACTATTAAACATTAAACAGTTTTTTTTAATTTAGTTTTTAGATTGGATAAAAACTTACTCAACTCAAAACACTATCTCAACAAAACCAATCGTTTCAACCTTTTTAAACTTGTGGTTTACAAGTTACGTTAGATTCAAATCGAGTTTAGCCATATTTGAAGAAATCGTTGATAATCTATTAAATACGTTTGGATCAATAACTCAAGTAAATCAACATCATATTGCTTTAAAGACAACAAATAATTATTTTTTTAGGATACACAAGGTGTACACACTTTTGAACTAATCAACGAAGCAACTACTCATACATTTATTGAAAAAATTTCCATTATCTTGAAGATGATGTTCGATCACGTTGATTTAGTTATAAACAGATTAAAATCTGAATATTCCATTTTAATGTATCCAAACGTCCAAAGTCTCGAACGACGAAAAGAAAATTTAAAAAATAAAGAACGCGGGATCTCTTGTTATCTTTGTCTATTAATAACTATTTTAGATTCCGTTTGTACGATTTTAGTTCCAATCGGAAATTTATCCGAAGCCGTTTTGAAAAATATTATTTCGTTGTATAACTGTTTAAATACTTGTGCCAAGTATTTTCTTGCCAGATCATCGAATATCAATCCAGCTTTCCAATCGGCAAGGTAAATTTATTTTTAAATAATCCTTTGTGATAATAATAATTATTTTTGGTCTAGATTTGATAGCGTAATAAAACTAGCTGGACGACAACTTTCTCCATCAGTTAATAAATTTATATTTTATTTAGAAGAAACTCAAAAAGAAAACGAATCCGAAGTGAAAAAGAAAAAAAAATCCAATGATATATTAAAAAACAAAGTACTATACGAAACGAAATCGATTCCTAAAGTCGTATACTTAACTGAACAATTTAGCCGTTTAGTTACCCAGTTATCAAAAAAGACCAAAATCGACGTTTTTAAATACATCGGACTTGGTACTACGAGAGATTTTCGTATTAAAGATATTAATACCGTTTTAAAGAAAAGTATAGATGACACTGATGTTACTGATGAATCTTTACAAGAAAGTGTAGTTGAAGAAGAAAATGATAATGAAGTCTCAATGGAAGATGTGGAAAGTAATAGCGAAGGTGAAAAAGAGGAACCACCTTTAAAGAAAATGAGACAATAATTTTTTATTAAGTAATATATTATAATACACCATTTATTTCGTTTAAATGAGTTTATTTTTGTTCATTAAATTTATTTTTGTGATATTAATTGAACTTAATTGTTACCAATTTTCATTTATTAATCCAAGAACGAAATTATGTTTTGCCATTTATCTACTTAGTGGATAAAAGGGAGTATTCTAAAACACTATGTCAAACAAAATGTCACTCCATGTCAATTCAAAGCATAGTAAAAAGGATTCTTTACTTAAAATAAGACATATTGTGCTTTGCCCATCAAGAAGATTCTTCTCTAGGCGAGTTTTGGGGCTCGATTTGATAAATCAACTCGAAACGAAGGATGCAAACTCTCTTGCAAGAAGACATTTAGCGTCAAACGGCGTTCGATGTGATAATTGAACATGAAACCGTCAGCTTTGGACGATTCTACCGCCTCGTCCGCAAGCCACCTCGGTGATTTGAGGCGAAATCGTGCCTTACGTATCTTAGTAAACGTACAAAGTCACTTGCAAGATTGAACGATTCTAGCGACCATGACGATTTATGGTAAGAATATAAAGTTTCTTGTAAGAAGACATTTATCATCAAACCGCCGAAATCGCTTGAGGGCGTGGCGTTCGATTTGATAAATCAACACAAAACCGCCACTGTTGCAGCGTTCTAGCACCTCGAGAAGTTTTAAAATCAATGTTAATAAGGAAAGTTGCACAATTTTTGATGTTTTATCACAGGCATGTAATAAATAGTTTGTGATGAAGGGAAGGTTTCTTTTGATTGCAGCGTCACCTTTATTTTTGTACAATGAAAAATAACAATATTTAAGAACTGAAGTCATTTAAGTACTCTAACAATAACTTTTTACAAAACTAAAATATTTCAATCCATCCGGATATACTTGCTCTAGGAGTTTTACGTGAAACATCCTGTATAGCAGTTGCATCAATATGTTTTGATTAAGTTGCAACATTCACCAGTGGAAATATCAAAATATTCGTTTGAAGGCCGAAATCTTCTCTGCACTGCCTACAGATAGTATTTTAGCAATCCAGAATAAATTTAGTGTACCGCACCTTTCCTGGGAAATATACAGAAGTAATTTAGAAGATTGGACTGGATTTATGGTTAGTACTTTTTGTTTTTTTTTTATTTGCCGTATACGGTTTAACCATTAAAATTATCTTTTCACTTTTTGAAATGTTTCTTCAAATCTCATTTATATATTTATATATTACAATTTGGAACGCAAACAGGTAGAACATCCCCAGTGAAGCATCCTCACAAAATATCGAAATTAACATTATATTTCATAAAGAGACAATACACTTAGAAACACAAGCAAGAAATTTAAATATAAAGAAAAGTAGTTACAATGTTTTTACAAAGCTAATACAGAATTAAAGTGGTTCGCAACTAAACAATATCGCGCAACACGAAATCTTTAAACGAACGCGAGATGCGAATAAGACCTTAAAAATCTACACTGATGGCTCAAAAAGATGGAACGGGGCGGGAGCGGGGGTCTTTTCCCATCATCCTCGAATACGTCTCTCGGAACCTCTAGGTAAAGGTACCTCCGTCATACAAGCGGAACTGACCGCTATCAAACTTGCTGTTGACTATATTGTTGACTCCAACGAACGCGGTAAGTGTTACACTATTTATACAGACAGTAGCCAATCTGTTTTAGCGTTAAGGTAACGTCTGCACTAATAATAGACTGCCATCTAGCACTGGAAGAAGCCACGAAATACAATCGTGTCACTATCCAATGGATGAAGGGGCACTCCGGCTCTATGGGTAACAAACATGCGGATAGACTGGCAAAGCTTGCTGCCAGCAGAGTTCCCTGTGCACCAGAGCCGATAATTACCTCTTCTTTAGCTACTCATATCAAGTTACGTAATGCTTCTTTCACCATAAGGTCGATATGAAGGTAGAATCGCAGTTTGGAATCAAGAGTAATACCAAGATCCTTCACTCTGTCAGTGGACGCAATAGCTCTGCCGTTAAAACTGTAATAAAAGTTAACCGGATATCGTTTCCATGTAAACGTAATTTTTTGACATTTGTCGTAATTAAGATGAAGTTTGTTGACGAGACAGTAGTCATGCAAACGATCAAGGTCTTCCTGAAGCTGTAGACAGTCGAGACTTGATGTTATATTTGTAAATATTTTATTATCATCTGCATACAGCAGGAATTTGGAAAACTTAAAGCAGGAAGCAATATCATTAATATAAATTAAAAATAATGTTGGTCCAAGATGGCTGCGTTGAGGCACACCGGAAGAGATGGACTTATAACCTGATAGAAAACTACCAACCTTGACTGCCTGACTTTTATCTGATAAATATGATATAATCCAGTGAACGATGCCATTTGGGATGTTAAAGGAAGAGAGTTTTTGAACAAGAATTGTATGGTCAATCTTGTCGAAAGCTTTAGAATAATCTGTGTAAATAGCATCGACTTAAGAGTTTTCATTTAGGGCAGAATGAATAAAATTAACGTAGGATACCAAATTAGTCTCAGTCGATCGTCCGGGCAAGAAACCGTGTTCTTCATGAATAAAAGAGTGAGTAATCGACTGGCTAAAGTATTGGACAATTTTCTCAAAAACCTTGGGAATAGCCGAGAGAATAGAAATCGGGCTGTAATTTGAAACCAACTGCTTGTCGCCGGATTTAAAAATTGGGACGACGAAAGCCGTCTTCCACTTGCTCGGAAATGCCCCTTCAAGTAATGATTTCGAAAAAATTAAAAACAGGGGTGAAAACAGTTCACTAGCAAACTCCTTTAGGAAGGACGAAGGAATACCATCTGGACCTGGGCTAGATGACTTGTCAAGGTGTGAACAAACGAGCTCTCTACGTTCATCCCCGCAAAGACAGACCGCCATTCAATCCTATTCAAGAAATTTCTTATATTTCCAGAATTAGCCTTATTAAAGAGACGGCTAATTTTAGGCCCATCATTCAAATAAGTTGCGATACGTGGTACAAAAAATTCAAAGGGTGGATGGTGACTGTCGGGATCCACAAGTGGATCCATGCAGGGATGGATGCTCTCAACGCGTCCATTAGCGCATAATATAAGATCTAAAATTCTAGAATTATTATTCAAAACATTATTAAATTGACCAAAATTACAATATGAATAGATGGTAAGAAATTCCACGGCACGACGATCGGAACCTCCCAGGGGCATCAACGCGCAATCACCCTCGGACGCAGTCCATGAAATCGTTGGTAGGTTGAAGTCGCCCACGATAATAATCATTAAATCCGGATAGGTATCACGCACGGTAGACACACTGGACAAAAACACATCTAGAGCCTCGTGGGCAGTGGGAGGACGGTGGCACAGATCCTCAGCATCGCTATGGAGATTCGGTATAGAAACGGAATGAATACCATGGCGGGTAGCAATAAGAACTCCACCACCGTCCATCTTCGTAGACACAGTAGATTCTCTGTCCCGACGATGTATAGAATATGATGAATTGAGCAGCTCCCTGCTCATGCTCGAATTACTGACATGCGATGTATACGATACACTCAATAACGCAACATTTTAATTTTTCAGACTAGGCTTGAGATGAAACTAAAATGAAATTTACGGAAAATCTGGAAAGAACCAACATTGGAAGCAAGAACACGTCCATCATCATAGAAAACTGCTTCAGAATCGCGTTGAATGCTGCTCAAAACTTACAAACTTACAGTGAACATGGTCTTTGTAAATCATAGTGCTTTGAGTTTTTTTTTTAATTCAAGCATGGCGATTTTGGTGTGAGAAACGAAGAACATTGACAACCACCGAAAAAATTTGAAGGCAGCGAATTGCAACTATTGTTAGATGAAGATTACGCTCACATGAACTGAATGAAAGAAAGCAGGAAAACCGAAAAACCAATTTTGAAATTTTGAAATGCTGCTTACCAGGTATAAAAGAAAGTCTGTGAATGGTATTGTGACTGGCGATGAAACCATCGACATCAACTGCAAGACCTTTCAGATAATGCTAACACTACCATCAACAAATGATCGATTTGAAGCAAGCTTTAGATGCAAAATGACCAAAATATTACAACAGGCAACACAAAACGATTTATCTACATAATAATTAGGGCACGGAACTTTTGTAACAGAACGATACGATTTCCCCCCTCCACTTGTTCTCATTGGCTAGTTTTCTGGGTTTATTTTCTAGGAAGCCACTGAGAACAAGTGGAGGGGGGAAATCGTATCCTTTTGTTACAAAAGTTCCGTGCCTTAATAATAATAAACCATTTTTAATTTTCAATACTAACATAACATCTCGATACTTTAACATTTCAATACTAAATGCAACTGAAAAAATTCCATTGCTATGGGGATGTCATTTTGTCCATGGTAGTTAGGTAACATATTACTGATATTACTTAAAGTATTGTTTGAGAAAGCTAACTTTACACTGTTTTGATAGAACTTTATTAGAGTTTTTATCTTTATTTTTCTATATCTTTACAGATAGTTTATTGATCTACATATTTTTTTTCTTTTCATCCCTTGTAAATAGAGTAAGGGAAAGAAATGATATTGAGATGAGGGAAAATTCAGAACGTGATACTAATATGGATATAACAGACAAGGGACTATCATAAGTTGCACAAAAGGTATTTTTTTTAATACTATCTAATTATTGAAATATTAACTTATTCAATTATCTGCATGGTTTAGGTGATGCTGAATCTACTTGCCGACTCTAATAATAAAATATCAATATGACAGATAAAGTTTACCATAAGACTGAAGAAGAAGACATCTAACAAAAAGAATGAAAATAATGCAGAATATTATTAAGGGTATTAATAGCTAGTATGCTAAATATAATCCAAGAACCCATTTACCATTTAATGGCGTAGGTTATTGTCCACAAATCATTTCATCATTATTCATCATTGGTGAAGATTTTGAAGGGGGTAGTGGTTGCTTTTCTCCCCAACGTCTACGCCACTAGAAAGTACGGTTTTGAGACGTCCATTTGAACCGTCAATGTTTTCTATACAAAAAAAGGTTCTGTAGGTCATGAGCTCTAAAGTTGACCGATTACGAGAAAAATCAACTTTTATGTTGAATAACATGGTCAATTTTTTGAAATAAAAATTTTATTTTACTATAACGTTAGAACAAGTAACAAAAGCAAACGTTAACTTCATAATAGCATAATTAAAAGAAAAAACAATTATAAATCATACACAGTTAAATGAAATGTTGGAAATGTCTGCCGTTAGCTTCAATGCACGCAACAATTCTTCGACACGTTGACTGTCTAACACGCAGGAAAATTCCCGGAGTGTTCCGAATTATGTCGCAGAATACCACAATGCGCTCTCTTAATTGGTCAACATTTTCAACTGGAGTAGCGTAGACTAAGGTTTTCAGATGGCCCCAAAAGAAAAATCTGGGTGTTCGTCGTCCAAGTATTGGCGAGCAACCAAACTAAAGTGGGCCGAAGCTCTATCATGCATAAAGTACATGTTTTGTCTTACTTGAAGCGGTACATCTTCCAGCAGTTTCGGCAGTACTTCTTCTAGAAATTGTCTGCATAGCTTCTAGAGAGTTAGGTGGCGCTGGTAACCATGAAAAGACTACAATCGGTAGGATTTATGAAGGTTGGGGGCATTGGCGGCAGTTGTACACTCTGGAGGAGGGCTGTGCTGGACTCACCCCCACTCGAGTGCAAGACAGACTGCTTGTCAGCAAAATACGTTTTCTCAAGAAATTACCGCATCTACATCAGTCCCACAGTAGTAGATGCGAATAAGACCTTAAAAATCTACACTGATGGCTCAAAAAGATGGACGCCCTCCGGTTAGCCACAGGTCTCCTTACGAGACACTGTAAGGTAAACAAGCACCTTCACAATTTGAAGCTTGCAAACTCTCCTCTCTGTCGAGCCTGTGAACAGAACGGCGAGATCGCTAGACACGTCTTGTGTGATTGCCCCTCTCTAGCAGACCTCAGAATGAGGACCCTCGGGGAGGCATGGCCGACCACAGATGATATCAGGAACTTACCTCGGAGTGATATCCTGGCCTTCGGTAAATCCTGGGCTGGTTGATGTAAAAAGAGGTAATGTTGGGAATGCTCCTCATTCTAAGGTCGGTCAGCGACGGTCAATCACACAAGATGTGTTTAACCGTCTCGTCATCCTGTTCACAGGCTCGACAGAGAGGGGAGTCAGCAAGCTTCATGTTTTGAAGGTGCTTATTTACCTTACAGTATCCCGTGAGGAGACCTGTGGCAGTGCGAAGGGCAGTTTTATCGAGCCCTACGAAGAACTAGGCTGTTGCGACTAAAGGATATTTTAACAATTCCTTGGCGAGATGACAGCCCACCCGTTTAAGAATTTTTTATGGGTAATGCGCTTAATTGACTCGATATGCGTAGCTAAAGCCCTATGGGTGCACAGGGCGCTCTACTGGCAGCACGTTTGGCTAGCCTGTCCGCGTGGTTGTTACCCTTGCGACCCTTCAATTAGCACTCGGCGCGTATAGCGAGCATGTTACAAATATCCCAAAGTTTTGTATGGCGTGTATTGAATCGAGAAATGTTACATCCGTTTCATCGCCAAAATGTTCAAGCATTACATCCTGGAGATACTGAGCAACACTCAGCATTTTGCCACTGGATTATTCAGCAACATGCTCAAAATAATAACTTCATTTCCCAAGTTCTGTGGTCTGATGAAGCGTGTTTCACTAGGGACGGCATAATAATTATCATAACGAATATGTGTGGTCCTTGCAAAATCCACATGCAATTAGACCAGGAAGATTTCAGCAACGGTTTAGTGTAAACGTTTGGGGTGGCATTTTTAACAATTCTTTGCTACCTGTATGGGTGATAAATGAACGCTTAAATGCAAATATGTACAGAAATTTCTTGGGACATAACCTTTTCGATTTTATCGACGACGTACCACTTAACATCGTTCAAAATATGTGGTATCAGCACGATGGTGCACCACCACATCGAGAAAGAGAAGTCATCGCTTGGTTACATGAACATTTTCCAAACAAATGGATTGGTAATGGAGGTCCAGTAGTCTGGCCACCACGATCCCCAGATCTAAATCCGCTGGATTATTATTTCTGGGGACACATGAAGCAGCTTGTGTACCATGTAGAAATTACTACCCGTCAGCAACTACTGGACAGAATTCAAGATGCAGCTAATAGCATACGGAATAATCCAAATATCATACGTCGTGTGATAGAATCTTTACTTCGTCGATGTGAGGCGTGCATTCTATAGTTCTTAGGGCTCGTAGAGCATTCTAAAGAAAAATATTGAGTTGTAGTACCTGATATTAATTTTATGTATTGTGTAAAAGGTAGGTACAAGAAGATACAATAATATTATATTATTGTATCTTATGTTCTTTCTTTACCTACCTTGTGCACTACAAAATTGATTGAATTAACTCATTCAATTAAGTAAGTGATGTAAAATTAAAGCTATTTCTGATATTTTAATTATAAGTAATGTTGAGGAATCTGTAAGACTAGTAACTATTGATCTAATTTATTTAAATGTAATTGACTTACATGTAATTAACTTTAATTAAATTGTAGCAATGATCTGAACAATTAATAAGCTTAGAGCAACAATTTATTCATAAATTAATATTATTATCATTCTCAAACTCATCTAATGAACTTAATCTAAACAATATCTGCTTATAAAGTGTACATGTGGCACTAATCCAAACGGTTAATAACCCGAGAGCAACAATTTAATCCTCTACCTCTACGTTTCATAAATTAATATTATTATCATACTCAAAAATCTTCTAATGAACTTAATCTAAACAATACCTGCTTATAAATTTATTCCTGATAACACATTATCGTTATACAAAATGAGATTTTCTCGATATAAAATAAAACAATAATTATAATACGAAACATTTTTATTTAAATCCATAGTTTGTACATAGCTTTTTTAAGAAAACATTACTCTTAATGTAGAATAAATGAAAACAGCAAATCTAAAAAATTATGTACACAGTAAGTTTTTAAACTTATTCTTACAGCTCTATTTTTTAAGGTGAGTAACAAACAACTGGTTTCAAGGTTAATTAATCTTTAAATAATCCTAACTTTTAATTATAACAGATCCCTTAAAACCTTAACAATCCATAGAAAAGAATGGAATGAGGAAAAAATGAAATTTTTTTAAGTTGAGGATAAGATGAGGAGGTATTTGTTTATTTATCTTATAATTAATAGTGATCAATAAGGATGGGACTAAAAAGGAAGAATCAGTCTTAAGCCACAAAATCAAGGGGTCTATTAAACCCACCTTTACGGTTCATGTACTGTCTATACTTTCGTTTTAGTATAACGTGAACATCGCCGACGTCATTCCCTTCGACCTTCTTTCCCTTGGTACTATCGAAACTGCAAAAACCCATCATCTTCATCATTTCCTGTTCGTCGGGGCTTTTCCCTTCCAGATCCGCGGCGGTTACAACGGGCCTCTCGGGGAGTCCTCCCTTCGATGACGATTTCTTCTCGGTCGATCGCGATCTCGACCTCGAGTACCTTCTATAAACGTCTCTGTCGTTCGAGTGCCTTCGCCTGCTATCCCTTTCTCGGGACCTGTCAACCCTTTCCCTGGACGACCTCTTACGTCGGTGTCTGTTGTTGTCTCTGTCTCTATCGCGTTCGCGTTCCCTATCCCTATCACGTCTCCTCGGCGATTTGGATCGACTACGACGCCCCATAATATTACCGAAAAAAAATTTTTAATTGACGATTTTTTTCTGAAGAAAAATTTTTTTCGCGAGACGCGAAAAATTTTGACGTTTGACAGATAAAACGTCGATTTTAGTTCATTTTTTCGCTGCATGAAAGCGCTAGTTTTCATAGTTGCGTACGGGATTTTCAACCGTAACCTATAACTATGTAAAGACCAATTTTCCCGCCGTTTCTCTTTTGTAGGTATACTCCCGAAGCCGGCGCGCGCAACGTCTCTTCACTCCGGTTCGCGTTCGTACACGGTATAAAGAGTAATCCGCGTCTCGTACGTCGAGTGTGAATGTGCTAGTTTTTTTTCCCCCGAACGAAAAAGAAACCTTTTTAGGCGACTTTTTTATGGAACCCGCGCCCTTTCGGAAAGTTATTCGTTAAATTCGTTACCGAAAAACTAGGTTTTCTAGGATTTCAGTGTGATTCAAATGGGGGCGTGTTCATCGTAACACAAACAACGAGTGCTATTGAGTTGCAAAAAAGATCTCCCCCAAATCAACTTTTTATCTCTATAGGTGAGTCTTAACCTTACTTTATCTTTTATTATCACGATTATCTCATCAAGGCACACCCTGATTTCATTTATGTTTTCACAAATAATAATTAATAACAGCAATTTTTCTTAATTAATTAATAATCGTTAAAAATTTGAATTTATTAGGGTTATTTTTATCGATTTTTGTCGATAAGATAAAATAGGGTGGCAACCCTGCTCAAATAAAAAAAAGAGTAACAGTGATGGCTTCCGATTGTTGAAATTGTCACAAAATTGAAAAACCAGTACGGATTTGGTGCTTCTCGGTTTATTTTATTGTATGGTAAGTCGTTTTAATGATTTTGGTATGGGTTAGAGGTGCGTTGACCCCGAAATTCGGTAAAATGGCCACTGGAAGCGGCGCCGTCGTCGCGCCCCATTTGACACCTAACCCCAAAAAATGTTGTACGCTCGGCGCAAGGTTATTTTAACTGGCTATTTTTAGGAATTATCTAATACGGTCGAGATCTCTCTCACGCGTTACTCTCAACGAAAGAGCGGCCGATGTTTCTGTTTGTTTTAGTTTGCATTTTGACCTAGAGAAGTTACGAAAAAAAGAAAAACCTGTACCTACCTTTTTTATAAACAAACTGTTTATCGTTTTTGCTTGGGTGGTACTGTTGTTGTGTATTGTTTTATGTGTAAACAATTTTGAGCTTCTTTATAAAAAGTAAAAGTGACCTCGTTTATTATTTTTAAGATATACTCTATTTGGACTAAATTAATCTAAGTTTTCTTTTTCAGTAGGTGCTAGTATATGAAACTACTCATTTAATCCCCGGTTACGGTCGACTTTTACTTTTCTCTTTGCAATTTCATACGATTTTTTCCATTAAAAGTGCTTCCGGGTTTTCGTATGGCGCGGTAGCTTTCTAACTGTCTCTTTCATATCTATATGGTATCTAAGTTTATATATATATAACATTTTATTATTAAAAAACATAGAACATTTTTATTAAGGTCCAGTTTTACCATCCTCCTGATAAACTATCTGGGTGCTAAATTCTAGGGGATAATTACCATGGTTAAAGCGGTTTTAAGCGCTCTCATTCGATAAGAGGTAGTAAAAGTGGGCCTAAGAAATGTCATGTAAACTGTAATAGAATATAAAGTTGATTATATACAGGTGTTCAGAAATTGGCGGGCCAAATTGGGCAATTTTAAACTCCTGTTTCTATAAGAGATACAGGAAAAATGATAGCAGTGTCTGAGGCTCGATTTTTATAAGAAACTTAATGGCGAAAACCGCATATTGATATCTCTTACGGTTTCAGACACAGGCTGTTTTTCAATAAAGTGCATTTTCGAAAAGTCGTCATAACTTTTTTCTTATTGATAAATCTTCCTTTCTGTGAAAACATTTCCAAAGCAACTTTTTAGGTAGAATTCGATGGAATAAGTTAGCTTTCCCTCAAAGCAATATTTTAGCAGTTATTGACCTAAAAATGATTTTTTTAAATGGAACATCCTATATATTTTTGCTAATTAGACGAGAGCATTTAGAGGATGGATGAAAAAAGCCCACAAATATTTGTGGGCTAAAGTATATAGGTAAAAAAGATGTTAAATCTTAGGCAAAATGCTATCATAACCCTTAAAATGTATTTGTCCACGTCTCAACAACTCAAATTTCGACAATTTTGTACCTAACAATTTCTACTTTCAAAACATTTTCTTTTTTCCAGTTATTTTCGGAGGTGTAGGAGAAACTTGTTGAAGGTCTGTCTGAGAAATACTCTTTCCTGGTTCTACATTTAACTTCTTTTTTCGTCCTCTGGAAGATGAACCTTTCTTGTTGAATCGAGCTTTTTCAAACGTATCTTTTAAACACTCTGCTACAGGTACATCTGCAGTCTCATCTTGATGGGTATGAGACAATTTGTTGAGTATTTTTTGCCGATTCAAGGGTAGTATCTCAATGGCTTCAAACCCCGAAATAATATTGTTTATACAATTTCCTTCAATGGAAGACAGTGCTTGAATCAAGAATCTAGGGAACACATCCTTCCTCACTACGCCTTTGTTGTGTTTTTTCCATTGACGTAAAATTTTGCGCCAAGCCCCTTTGATGGGTCGAAACACACACACGTCCAAAGGTTGAGTCATGTGGGTGCTGTTAGGAGGCAAAAGCACAAATCTGATATTATTTTCTTCACACTTTGTTATTACACTCAAAGAGATATGGGATGCCAGGTTATCCCTTATAAGTATTTTTGGTCCATCAGGCAATTTTTTAAAATATGGGAGAATCACATAGTCTAACCATTTTTCGAAAATGCTTCCATCGAACTATCCAGAGCGACTTCGATTGAATCTAGTTCCAGGCGGACCATTTTTGGTCCACGTTGACCATAAGTGACCAGCTTTATATACAACATAAAGTGGAAGCAGATCCTCAGATGCTGTGCACGCAAACATATCGGAAGTGGCGGATTTTGAATTATCCATTATTTTTTCAGCTCTTTTACAAGATCTACGGCCAGGATCGTCCGTGAAATTTGTTTCGTTCTAGTTAACAATACAATCTGATGGAATCCCTTCGAGTCCTGCAGCCAAATGGTCAAAGTATTTATTGATGACAGTATGATCCACATTAGCCCTGCTTTCTGTTATGGACTGGAACAGTCGTTTTGAAAGTTGATTCTTATGACGTTTTAAAAATGCTTGCATCCAACCTTCACCCGGTATATTATTTTTAAATGCGGGAACACGCCTACCCATTCTCTGAAGATAATTTCCTACCAATTCCTTAATATCAACTGGTTCCATTGGAAATCCCCATTCACAAGCGATGCCAATTGCTCTAACTATAGAAAATTTTTCTTCTGCTTCTGAGAGTATTGTTTGTGCCACCCTAGTTTTTTCATATGGGGCCCTTTAATTTTCCTATATAATGTAACGTACGGTATCCCATATTCTTCACTCAAAGCCTTTAAATTTCCTCTTTCGTATCTTACAGCTTCTTGCAACTTCTCTTCATCAAAATCTCGATATTTTCGGCTTCCTGCCTTTCTTTTATAATTTCTAACCATTTTCAAGCCGCCCCTGGTAACCCAACTTTAACCGGTAACTTTGATTTTACGTTAGATTATTGTTATGCAGTTAACAAGCAACCAAAAAAAAATAATTTATTTGCATGATACTACGTACAACAGGAAGTATTTAGGGTACAAAAAATATCAATTTGTTACCTTATTTTCGTGATTTTTGTTCGGCACAAAAGAATTCATCTGATCATAAACAAAACTTGCAGAATGAGTGTATGAACAATTGACTATAATACCGTAGTTTCGCCACTCATTACCAGAGAGTGACACATGTCTTAATTTTTATTGTCAGAATTTTTCAACTCACCCCGCATTTACAAGCAACTTTAAAACTTATATGTGCAGATTTTGAAAAAGTAGGCTTTAGAAATAATAGAAAAACGAGATTATATTTATGAGTAGTATCAAGATAGTTGATTACAATGAATTGAAACATAAACTCATAAACAAAAAGCAGATTAAATTAATAAAACTTATCTTATTATAAAACAAGAATAAATATATGGCAACAAATAACAACAAAAGTAAACCCCTGTTCTATAAAAAGTGTTCAAAATGTCCCCAAAATGGTTTGTGTTATACACAGTCGACATCTTTTTTTAGCTCTTTTTGCCGACTTGATAAGCTGAATGGGTCTAACGGTGTAAGCTGACTGGGTCTGCAAAAGCGTTCACAATTGCGGCTTCTAATACTTGTCGGGAATTTATTGGTTGTTTATAGATAACAATCTTCCCCAAAGGAAAAAATCCATAGGTGTTAGGTCCGGTGACCCAGCCGCCCAGCGGATAGAACCTTGATTACCTAACCAACAATCACCAAAAGCTGCGGTCAAAAAATTGGTGTCATAAGTATTGTGAGGCGCTGCACTATCATGTTGAAAAAATACATTTCGCAGGTGCGCTAGAGGTAAATCGTCAACAACAGGTTCGATTTGTTGTCTAAATATGTTCAAATATTTTATTTGTGCTGTGCACCAGCACTACTCACATACGCTTCATCTGTCCAAATACAATTTAAACAAAAATTGCTTGCTTCGTCACATTTTGCCAAGAGCCATTGGCAAAAATTTATGCGCCGTTCAAGATCTCCTGGTCTGAGGTAATGGACTTTGCTAGTTCTGTATTACTTAAATCTGATTTTTTTTTTAATCCGCCTAGCTTTGGTTCTTGGACTTCCCGTGGTTACACTTAATTGCCGCATTGATATCTGGATTATTTTCCATTCCTACTAAACTAAAACTACTACTTCTTCTTCTAATTCCTCGTCTTCATTCGGTATATAAGTTTTTGATCTCTTCTTTTCGAATTGGCCGCTAGTTTGTAGATTATATCACAATCTTCTAAAAATATCATTAAAAGGTTGCCGCCTCTCTGGATATCGTTCATGATATAAATTTCCTGCAGCCTCTGCATTCTCCACATATTATATAAAACATACTATCATGTTCCATTTTTCATAATTTTTATATGACATTATTTTGAAAGTTGATAACAACTAAGTAATACTCTAACGATAAGCACTAACACTTATAACTTGAATCAAAATTTGACAGATACTCATATACAATGCATTTGTTTTATCGAAACTCCGTCAAAGCTCACTACCCTACTAGTACGCAATTGAAAATCTTAAAAGTTTCCAAGTTATATATTTCAAAGAAGACTTGAACGAGATATCAAGTGTGCTATTTTTTTGGAGAGGAAATTTTATGCTCTCGTCGAATTTGGAAAAATATATAGGGTATTCCATTTAAAAAGTCATTTTTATCGAACAACATTTTGCCATTCAGATTTTTGATTCAGAGTCGATCGAAGAATGTCGCTACGTGTAGATTATCCGCCAATTTCTGAACACCCTGTACATATTTCATAATCTGAAATAAATAACTCTCGTCTTTTTATCTGGGGCACTAGGATATGTATACATTTTTCAT